TGCTGAAATGTGAACACAACACCCAGGTGGCAGTGTTCGCTCCAGGACCCCTCCAGGCCTGCTGTGTGCATTGAGCACCCTATGCAGAAATGGCACAATAGAGAACCCAGAGCATGTCCTGCATTGATTCACCACAAATACAGCAGTGACAGAACAACGAGATAGTGTTAAATTAAAAGGGACAGTCTTCCCAGCACATCTAGCAAGAGAAAGACAGAAACCACAAGCTCAGGGCATGCCCACAACACAACTGCATTTGCTCCCTGCAGCACTTGCAGGGTTGGTGGCAATGCTTGGATGACTCTTCAAGACTGAGATACAGAAATGGCCTGGTTAGCAGAGGGATCTAGTGCTCCGTGCCCCCTGAAGCCCACTGGGGCTGGTTTTCATTGGCTTTCACCTTAGATATTTTTTTAAGCAACAGAAATAAGTAAATTCAGACTATCAACTCCTACTAAATGTGGCAGAAGCAGAGATCCACTAGAAAGACAAAGGGAAAAAGCCAACACAAGTAAAACCTCCTTCCTGAGTAAGGAGCTGGCAAAGGGACCATCCTCCAGCTTCTCCCCCAGCGTCACCCTGGCAGCACAAAAGAAACCCCCTTGTCCCTGCGCTATCACCACCTCCTTCCCTCCACCAGAGAGCACTCCAGGACACCATATCACTGCTTCCCCCCAGACCCCAGAAGGGCCAAATTTCTCCTTTCGCTTTGCTCTTTAGACACCAGGTACCCAACATCAGGAGCAGGAGGGCCACCCAGCCACTCCCGCTCTACTCGACACACACTCCAACTCCTTGCCCTCCAAACCTTCCCCACTCCAGTTTCCACAGTGCTGCCCTAATGATGGTGCTGCTCAGGCGGCTCTTTAATGAGGAGCTAATCTGAACCACCTGTTGAGAAATCCCCCGCAGTATTAGGAGCCTCCGGAGCAGCTACATCTTGGACTGAAGCGGCATCTGATGTGTGCAGCTGGCAGGAAGGGGTCACTCCTGCGCCGCACTGAGGCTTTTTTTTTTCCCCCTCCCTGAAACTCGCCCGCTGCTCGCTCAGCAAACAGGCCATCAGACATGCTGGCACCTTCCCCGGCTCCCCCGTGGCACTTTGACTGCTGCGTCCCGCTGGGCCGCCCTCGCGCTGCCGGCACCCCGGCCCAGCGGGTGCCGGAGGGCCCTGCGCTCGCTGGAAGGGTTTTGCCGGCCCACAGGCAGCAATTAGCAGCCCTCGGCCGCGGCAGACCTGGAGCACCTGCGCTACTGATTAGCATCATTCCAGCTCCATGTGTTTCCCACTCGCCGCCTCCTTGGGGACTCGTGCTGCCTGCCAGCAAACACGTGCGCCCTCACCTCCGGGATGGTGGGCTCGGCAGGGAGCACCTCTGCCCCGCTCTGACCATCGCTGCGGTCTTATTTTCCTCTCTGTGGGCTTTCATCTGCAGCATGATGAGAGGTTCTTCCTTCCTTTTATTTACCTGTTCTAAGTAATTATATTTATCATGGGGAACTCCACTTTCTCCTTTGTTTTGCAGGAACCACTGACCCTGGCTCACGTGGGATATTCCCTGCAGTTTAGTTTTCCAGGGTTTGGCAGTACTCTGGGGCAAAGCACCAGTTAATTATGTTTTCACTACACCTACAGCAAGAGATTATGCCACGGCCATTTTTTTTCCTTTCCTCCAAAACCAATCCTGTGTTGCCTGACCAATTTCATTTGGCAGCAGTTGCCAGTTCAAAGACCCTCCCATCTCCACTGCACTATGCCCCTGGCTGCGCCAACGTGACTGTTGGGGGCTGTGTGGTGAACCGGACAGGAAGACTCATCTATGTTAAAAATAACCCCTACCAAAGGAAAAAGTTATATTTAACTCCAGTCATTTTCCTGGGTCTGGTTCACTCACAGACCTGCCAGCAACAGTGCCGTTATGCTGATGGGTAGGGAGGAAGCAAGGGTGAGGAGGCAGGGAAGGAGCCATTGTAGCTGGCCACAGTGTCGTTTGGTAGCGTTTCCTAAGGCAGCCTGATCTGTGCCTTCCAATCCCATCTGATCCCCTCCTAATTCAGCTCTGTGCTGCATCAAGTCATTCTTCTCTCTCCCTCTCTCTCCCTACTATCTACACCCTCATGTGTTTGCAGCCTCACGTTTTCCCCTTGGCTGAATTTCTGTCATTTCCCTTTGTAAGCCAGTTCTTCTAGCCCTCTCATCCTTCTTCAACTTTTCTTTGAACTGCCTCAAATGTGCCAGCACTTTCATTGAAGTGGAATTCCCCAGACTGAGCACAGATTTCCATATGCAGCTGCACCGGGTTTGCGGCAAGGCCCGTTACCTCTGCGATCCAGAGGGCAGCACCTCCCTGCTCGCCATAGAAACCCTGAGTGTCAGGCTGGGTTTGATGGGCATTACCACCCATCTCTCTTTCAGCACAAGCACTTTCAAACGACTCCTTCCCACTGAATAGCGATGCTGTGGTTTATTTTTTCCCCCAGGAGGCATCTGCTCTCGCCTCCCTCCGTTGTCCTCCCCCTCACACCCCCCCTCACCTCCTGCTTGATTGGTTTGATGGGCTGATGGTCAGACATCCACCTGGGAGAAAACTCTGTCCGCTGCAGACGCTTCTCCTGAAACAGGGTTGAGAGTTGAGGGAAGGAAAAAGAGAGTGGATGAAATTAGGGCACGTTGGTGATACTGGTGGGAGAAACTCTGGGGGCTAGAAGTGACCATGAAATCCCTAATAGCTTTACAAGGGTAGCAAACAAACAAACTGAACTCGATCCAAGAACATCACGCTGCCTGCAGAGCCTGTTCATTGTACAAAGCCATCTATCAGGAGGATCCCATTCCAAGTCTGTCCCCCTTTAAAATATTCGTTTGATAGGCAATACCCCTACAAGTCTAAGGACTCTGACTTACTATCAGACTTAGCTAGGACAGCTGAAGCAGCAAATGCCCCCTCAGCAGAGCCATCTGAGAAACTGCAGTTAAAGTGAAATCTGTGGTAGTTTGCATGGAAAAGCTAGGCTGTAAATTTCAGCAGTTCAAGAGCAGACAAAGATTTCCTGCTAGCAGAAAAGGGAAAAGAACACAGCTGAAGACAGTAACCCCGTCAGCCTTCCTACTTATGCTGCTGGCAATCAGGAACCAGATCCTTACGTTTGACTCAAGCCCTATCGCTCCATGACAGGGAGTCTTTCTCCTCAACACGTAGTGCTTAACAGCCCCTGTTTCCACGGCACCTGCAGGCTGAAGCAGCGTGGGGTGACGCTGCCTGGATTTAGCAGTCCTTCAATCAGCAAACGTCCATGCTCTTGGAAGTGGTCAGAGAGGGGTAAACAGGATGTCATGTCTCCTCACCTTCTGCGCAATCATGTTGCAGATCTCCGGCAGGAAGTCTTCACTCAAGAGTTTGTAGAGCTGCCGCTCTCTAAGGGAAGTCCTCTCTCTGAAGCTTTCTGTGACCTGCCTCCACTCCTCTTCCGTCTGACACAGCAGCCACCATGTCCCACGGCCTGGCCCTTGGGACCCTTCAACAACACGAAAGGATGTTATCTCCATGACAGTTATGACTAACAGATTTCCCTATCCCTTCTCTTCTCCTATCATCATGGCTTTGGAAAAGAAAAAAAAGACAACTGCCGGTCCCTCTTATGGAGAACATGCTCAGCAAGGGAAAGCACTCTCAGTGTATAGAAAAAGAGAAACTGCACTAGACCCAAAACTTTCTTGAGTGATGAGAAGTTTTGTCACCCTCTCCTAGTTACACTGACAGAGATGCCAAGACACAGAGCAATTACATAGGCAAAAATTAACAGAGGCACTTTGCAACGCATGGGTAGTGCGACATGCCTATAGTAAAGTAACCCTCCATCCCAGTTACAGCTTTCCATCACTTTGCATGATCAAAGGGTACCAGATAAAAGGTTTTAATTTGTTCCTTGTAACGAAGGCTGTCAGCCAAGGCAGAACGCAAGGTAATGCAAATGTCTGATTATTCTAGTCTGGCAGCAGAATAAAAACATCGAAAATAAATGTTATTTTGAAATAAGCCAAATTTTTAGCACTGCAAACCTTTACTGTGGTGAATAAAAACCTTCCATTCTACCCAAATGAAACATTTTGTTTGTAGGCACTTGAAAGGAAAGAAGAGGAAGTGAAGCACTGGGTTCATCGGGCTGCCAGATGAGGGGGAAGTTCCAAAAGTTCACATCCCATCCCCGCTTGATCCAGAGTCAAATCTGAAGCAGATTTCCCACTGCTCTGAAGCATGTCCTAACTATCAAGACATTCTGAGCTGTTCCACTTTGTGTGAAACATTTGAATATTAATTACGAAGGGAAGGCTCGCCAGCGTGGTGGTTAGAACACCCACCTGGGAAGGGGGAATGTGGTTCCTGTTGCACAAATGTTTACACAGAGCGGAGAAGCCTCAGCAGTTGCAACTTGCACGCTTTTGCCCCAGGACAGTCTCTAAGCAAAAGGGTTATGGCCCACTTTTGGGGAGAGGAAAGATGCTCATTCAAATCCCTTCACGTCGAGGGGTTCCCAGCCTCTTCAAGAAGAAGGATCTTAACCACTGGCTACCAAAAAGAAAGAAAGGATCCCAACACCCCTGGGAGATGTCATGCAGCTTCTCCCTGCATTTTCAAGCAAATTTATTATGAAAAATCCTGCAGGGCCCTCTTCTCTCCTGGCTCAACACTGGGCACTTTGTGGATCTGAGCTGCTGGTGGCGCCACGCAAGCCACCAGATCGCCCCAGTAAGATCTAGAGCTGACTACCCCCTCCAGCCACCTGCCTTCCGTCAGAAACCTCCACGCAGCAGCAGTGACGCACAGCAAGCATGTGCTAGGCCTCAGGTCACAGGCTAGCGCATTAGCTTAGCCCACCATGAGTTTCAGTTCAAGTTAAGGTACTGGACTGTTCACTGAGATGGTGAAGGACCAGCTACACCTTTATTTCTGTCACCGTGACCACGCTTCTTAGGCAGAAGGAGGCAGCAGACAGCTGGGGCTGTAGCACCACAAGCTATGGGAGCTAACCCTGTGGTGGAGAGCTTACCTGCACACTGCTCCTAGAATCTGCCCCTTCTTTTTCCCATTCCTTGCTGCTGCTTATGGCTGACTCGTTTCAAAAGCAACCAGGAGCAATGCACTGCTTTGTGCCACCAGAAGATTACTCCACAGCTGAAGTGACACAATTTACTAGAAAACAATGATCTGATAAAACCCACAGTGTCTCATGTGTGTAGCTTCAAGCTCTGCCTCCAAACTCTGGAGCAGCAGCCAGGAAATCTGAACACAAAGGAAGAAGAGAAGGAGGCACGGGCAAGACAATGCCCCAGTTGCCTTTTATTGTGGAGGAATGGGCAGGCTGAGCCCATGAGTTATGTGGAAGCCAAGGGATTCTCATGTATGACAAATGAGTCCCAGCCCCCTCAGACTCAGTTTCACATTATGTTGCCAACTCTCTTTTTCTGTTTGCCTCATTAACCCTTATGTGGGTATCCCCAAGTCACCATCTACGGAGGATTGAGTCTAGCCACCCAACAGCCACCAAGAGAGAGAGATGAGGAGAATCGAAAGCCTCTTCCCTGTCTTGGCATCACTAATCCTACTCTCTCTTCCCAGTGTGTTTGGTACAAAAGAAAAAATGCTCCCACTGCAAATGGGGACCTGTATTCACCTCATCCCCCAAGAAGCAGGGACCGTCCATTTCTATCAACTCTAGTCAGTAGGTGGGCTCCTAAGGCCTAGTGTAACCCAATAGGTTGCGTTTCTTCATCCCAAACTAATCCGTGATAAGATAGGAAGCATGTAGGTACCCAGGCTCCCAGCTGTAAAGCAGTCTGTAATGCTAACCCCTCTTTCTAACCCCATCAGGAACCACCAGCGGAAAGACTCTCCCTTTCCTGAGAAATCATCTCTCTAGGCTTTGATAATTTAAGAGCTGTGTTAGCTGATCATATCAACCCTGACCCCACAAAACCTCTTTACCATTTCTTATCTGTGTCTCACGGATTAGCAAGTTCTCTTCTGCCTTCTCCCTACCAAAAAGAAAGAGAAGGAATGATATAATAAATACATTACTTAACATCACTGAAAGACTGCCATGTCTGGGTAGAAGCATGGGGAACACAAAAATTATTCAGTGCACAGCAAAACCATAAAAAAAAACAGTGTGCAGAACACACACATACAATATATGTATCATAGATTCACAACATTTTGGAAAGTGAAGTATGCAAATTGCCATTTGGCAAGGACAGTATTTCAATTCTTATGGGAAGTATCCCAAAATCTATACTGGCTCAAATGGGCAGGATTTTGGCTTCAAGTGCTAAACAGTGAAAGCCTTCTTTATCAGGACCGTATTCCCTAGCACTGCACAGAGGAACTGCATCAGAAGTTCAGGCAGCGGGAAGAGTGATACCCACTGTTTCACCAGACTTGGCTGCCAGCTCAGTCAGAGTTTTCTTTGGAGAGCGATCAAAGCACCTACCAAGCCTGAGCTTGCTTCATTTCAGAGATACATTGAAATTATGGCTGCACGAGATATACATACTTATTGGGGGAACCCCAGAAGTATGTTATATTATTAAAGGCAAGAAATATCAGAGAGACTTCCCCCTGGGAACACGGGCATTCTACAACTACTGCAGGAACAACCTTTCCGTACCTCAGTAGATTTTCTTCCAGCAGTTTCTTCCGCTTTGGAGGTCGCCCTCGTCTCTTGCCTGTTTTCCCAGGAGCATTGGGGGTGTTTGTCTGCCCCCCACCTCCCCTACAAAGCAACAAAACCACCATGAAATATTTGCTGAGCAAAGGGGACTGCGGCTGGCAGGACGAGAGAAGCGCAGGGAAACTGAAACAGCTGCTAGGAACTAAACTAAAGGAGGGATTAAATCAGAGCAGCAACAGGATGGAGAGGGAGGGAGGAAGAGAAGGAGAAGCGGGATTCCCACTTGCTGGGAGCCTGGTCCGAGCGCCGCCGACACGGTGCAGGGCAGACAGCTAGGAATGCGGTGGGGCAGGCAGCATCGCTTCCACAGCAGGTTCTCGTGGTGCCACAAAGGCTGCAGCCTGGCTCTCACACAATGCACGGCGCGGGGCAGCTAGCAGTCTGCTTGGCAACTCCCGTGTCGCCCCGCACCGACGCAGCCCTCTCCCAGGCTCCCCCTTCGCAGCCACATCCTCCCCCCGCGACAACAGCAGTCAGGCGGAGAGTCTCTTCCAGTAGGGCTGGCTGCACAGGCCCCCCCTTCTCCCCACGCATGCAGACACGGGGGAAGCGCGGGGCCTTGAGGGGGCCCTTACCTGTCTGGAGCCAGTTCTCCGTTGGTTTTCGCCTGCACTGGGTCCTCCTTGTACATGCGCGTGCCGTAGAAGTACCAGTAGAGCGCTCCGCTGCTGTCCTCGCCCAGCGGCTCCACGCGGAGGCTGTCGGCGTCCAAGCCCTGCACCCACGGGGAGCGCCCGGCCAGACGGCGACAAGTTGAAAGGCAGCCACATTGTCACACAAAACATGATGACACCCCTCCGCAAACACCTCCCTCCTTCCCACCATGCCGTAACAGCAGCACAGCTGCTCCTCCAGGCCGTTCTGGGAAAATGCGACTCCAGAGGGAAGGCGACATTCGCTCCCTGCCCAGGGAGGGATTTAGATTGGCATCTCTAATTTGAATGGTCTCTCTCGTTTTAACATTTCGTCTTTGGTGCTCCTGACAGGGAAGGTCTAATTAGTGCTGGCGACAGTCATGCACGGCCTTGGGAAGCGCCCTGGAAACTCCCTCCCCGCTGCTATCCCTTTTCCCCCAGCTCTCCCAGTACATTTCAGCCCCCTCCTTTCATCTCACACCATCCCACTGCAGCACAGTCTCTGCTCCTACAGCACTGCCATTAGCATCTCCAAATTCAGTGTTCTCAGGAAGAGCAGTCAATGAAGCCAATTTACTTAGTGACTTTTGTGTTAGAAACACAGCTATTGGAGCTGAATGACCCCAGGATAAGTCCTATGCACTTGCCCTGGTTCTTCTGCAAGTGAGGGAGCAGGGGAAGAGGACAAACTGGCCTAAACCCCACCATGCCCTGGTCCCATGCCCAGCGTGCCCCCCATCTGTGTCCAAAACAACCTTGGGAGGAATATGGGCCTTCTCTCCCTTCTGCCCTCCCCAGGAAGATTTCTGAATCCATCCCAGCTCCTGCAGCTGCACCATCTCCTCCCCATTCCCACTACCCAAAGCACCTTGAGGAGGTCGAAGACATCGTCCGCATCGAGCCGGTAGTCACAGAGGCGGTGTAGGATCTCGACTCGGGTGCGCAGGGGCAGCTCCTGGAACGTGGACTCCCGCAGCGGGTTGGGTTTCCCTTCTTCCAGCTCCCAGCGGTAGTTGATGATGTCCTCCAGGTAGCTGTGAAACGTCTGTGATCTAGCCAAGAGAACAAACCCCCGCCATGTTCACTGTAGTTTTACCATGCCAGAGACAACCTAACGGAAAGGGGACAGCCTAAACAAACACGACATGGAGACAGCTAATATTTGTAGGAAAACCGTGCCCTGGGACAGAGGCAGTTTGCTCTATCTCTGTAGATTGAGTTTCCAAGCTCCCCTGCCAACATTGTACTCTACTTGCAATGCTGGGATTCCATGTCACGCACATGCAGCTTACAGGACTCTTCACTTCTATTATTTTGAACAGGCTAAACAGGGTCTCATCCCACTCCATTCTCTTTTTATTCCAGTGGGCAGCACCTTGTGTCATCACAGGCATGGACCCTTTACAGCAGGGAGATGCAATCCCACCTGCCTCTCTCTATTTCAACTCGCTCTTATCTGCTTCAACTTTCCATTCGCTTCTCACATCTGCCACTGCTAAGCTCTGTTCTTTCATCTGCCTCCTAGGAAGTTTTCTATGCCCCAGGCCAGCAGCCCTAAAATGTTCAATAGCTGATCCTCCCTGCTGCTGTCTCCTTGCCTCCCGTACTCCTGTCACTGCCCCCATCCTCCTCTCCTCCACGCTCAAAGCTGCTGTTGCTTTTCTCCCACTCCACCACCAGTGTTTCTGGCAGGACATTCGCACAGCCCATGCCGGACGATTGCAGCATGCATGGGCCGTGCTATGCAGCAAGGCTCATTCCTAACACTAGTGTGCCTAATAATCAGTGCTCAGCCCAGAACACAGACTCCCAGATGCTCAGGCTGAATACTTATGTGCTGCCTAAACACTACTGCTAAAATTTGACCTACCACTTGCTTGCTGGGCTACCCTAAGCACCCCTTTCTTTGCTAGGAGTTCACCATCTAACTCAAGGAAACAGGTACATTTCTTAACCTCGTCTGGTATTGATGAGCATTATAAATTGCCCCATCTGACATATCTCAGACTGCTGATGAAGCTTAAGCTTAAAGGAGCTCATATCTATATTTTACGGAGAGCTTATTCTAACTGCCAAGAAGAAAAAAAAAAAGAGAGAGAAGGTAATGAAGAAGGGATAGTGAGACCATGAGACCATGTATTCCTAAAAACAAAACTTCCTAGAGAACAGTCAATATTGCCTAGGCTCTTGAAACTTCCAGTCTCTCTCAACCTGCTAGAATCATGTCCTGAGCACAGAAAAGGGGGAGCCCCGCTGTCCTCAGGAGCCAGCCACGCTTACGCACGCAAGAAGCCCATATGCCTGGGAGAACACCACTGGGTACACATTCCCACCATCCCTCAAACAGGCAGCTCAAGTTGATAGGTTTTTGGCACCAACGCATTACTCTATATGATTAATGGAACTTTGCCAGCACTGCAGAACTGCATGTGCCTGAGAAACTGCTAACTACTACAGAAGCTATTATTTTTTTTAATGATGAGACAGAGGAGTGTAATCTAACTGGAGGAAGATTCTTACAGGTCACCAAGAAGTTAGCTATTAGAAAGGGCTAAAGACTGGATAGTGATGGGGAGAACTGAGAAGCAGATGACACATGATTTCCTCAAGCCCTATCCACCTGGCAGCATTTCTCTTCTTTCCCAAATGGAGGAGACTTGATGCCACCACCCTGCAGATCGCTCTCTCTGAGCCCATTTCTTTCTGCATGTCAATGAAAGTTGACCTCCTAGAGGTAACTCCTCGCACTGGGGATGAGTTTTATCAGCCTCCTTGTTGTATTCAACATCAGCTGCCTGTATGCATATGGATCTAGTGGTTTCTGTAGCCTCCAAGCTTCATTCTTTTCCACATGGCACAAGCAAAACATCAGCATTTCCAAGTGAGGATGTTTTGTCCTATTGATACCAGCAAATACATGTAACTTGAAACTGTCCCTTTAGGGCACAGAATGTTCAGTCAACACAATAAAGAAGGACAGTTTCATGAAATCATTTGTGTTGTATCAATTATTTTTTAAGGTAAAATCTACAGACAATATCTTTTTTTTTCAATTAAGTACTGAATGCAGAGACAACCATCCTTACATTCCTTACTGCACATTCCCACATCATATACCTCAAGAGTCAATCTAACTTTCAGCAAGAATTCCAACTTGGCAAAGGCACAGTATTGGATTTGTTTTAGAAACTCTTTATTTTAGGAGTACTATTTGATCACACACAACTTAAATATCAGGAATTTCCTAAAGTTACCAATTAGGAAGAAAAAAAAAAAAAGATGGCTTGACTAAAGCTTTTAGAACAGAAAAAATGACGAGACTCTCCATGAATCTCCTTTCCTGAAAGCAGGCCAATGCCTGCATTGATCATTAGATGCTTCTTTCATCATGGAAGGGGATGGAGAACATCCAAATTGGAGGAGCTTAAGCTTAACATCTTGAAGCTCTGTCAGAACTAAGGCAGATCAGATCTGATATAAGGGCTCCGGCCACTGCGTGTTGAATTGACCAAGTAAATAATTTTCCTGGTATCTTGGAAAACAGCAGTGACACGGGATACGAGGATGAAGCAAGAGAAGTCACAGGGCTTTGTCTGTTCCTATTTTTCAGGCTAAAACAATTTCTACAAACAAAGGGGAAAGGCATGCATCAGACAGACACTCTTATCACTTGTACGAGTTCACTTTTATCTTCCATTTTAGTTGCACTCAGAAAAGCAAACGGATCCAGGAAGCCACTCCAATCCAGAAGATCATCTGAAATCTTTGCCGATACAACACACATTCCCTTTGGGGACTGTCTCTGTTGACTTAACCAATTTGGTTCAAGTCTGACTCTCACGTAAGTGGCTTAACATTAAAATTTCCACCATCCAGCTCAGTGTCCAATACATTAGAAGCTCTGTTCTCCAAAGTACTTGGAGTTTCTTCCCCATCAATTTTCAGAGACAGCTACTGTGCATTTGTCGCTTTGAATAAAGATAGAAATGAGAACCAGAGATGGGAACCAGATGTCTCAAGGCATTTCCAATCACTCTCAATGCTAGCCAATTTATATTTTCCATCTTCAAGAGGGCTGGGTCTCATTTTCCAGACAAACATGGGGTTCCAGTCTTCAACCCGTCTGCCACACCTATGCTTAGTCTCTCTTGTCCTGTCTCTATTAAACTTGCATTTGCAAAAGGTTTCTGAAAGAGACGGCCTCGTTCACAGGATAAAATTTGCATGGACTTTTCGTACATTGTGTTTCAGAGTACGTAACCCAAGCAAAATCCTTTTTCCTGCCATCTTGTACCATTATTAGCTAGGGCCACGGATGGTTAGCTTCTGAGATGGAAGGACTGGGTTTCTTCAGAATAGCTTTTTCACACTGAATTAAATTGCTAGATCTAGAGGAGAAATTAAAGAGTCCCAAGTTTCCTCAACTGCTCCCAGAAAGCAAACTGGAGCTCCTTGTAACAATTCAAAAAAAAAAAAAATAGGGACCATGGACCATAATGATTGTCACCGTATCTCACTCTTCTACCCCTGCCTCCCATGTCATAGAGAAGAAGCGTTTTCTGTACAGCTCATTAGTCAGGGAAAGTTATTAAAGCAATCACCTACAAGAGGTGAGAAGAGTTATCCTTGGAACACTATGTAACTGTAAAGCTTCCCCTTTCCTACAGACAGCTTTTCTCTCCATCCCAATTTCATTAGCCTCTGTGCCATTAAAATTTCCTTAAGTGTATGCTGCGGACCTGTCCCTGTCCCTGCACAAAAAGCAATGTGGAGTGGAGGAAAGGCCATGATCTAGCACACCCACGTCAAGGGGGATAAACAAGGGCAGACGATCCCCAAGAGTACGGGTGATGTTGCAGCTCAGGTTGTCCCGGATCCTTAGTGGCAGCTGCAAAAGAATCAGGGCATAAAGAAGATGGGAACAAGTCGAAGGAGGCGCTCCTCCTCAGCACGGGTATCAGCGTCCGGAGAAATTATCAGCGTCAGAGAAATCATACACCCTCCCGAGAAGCGAGCATGGCAGCCCGACCATCTGCCGCCCGGCTGCCTCCCAGAAGAGGAAGGTTTCTCTGCGCTCCAGGAAAGGGGAGCCGAGGCCTCCTCCCCCGCCTGGTGATCCCAGTTTGGCAGCCTGGCTCCACAGCAGCTCTCCCCGCGCACAGAGGCACCCTCCCACCACGCAGGGCCTTCGTCTGCTGGTCTCCTTCCGTCTGAGGGAGGTTTGCCAGAAGCTGCAAGGAGCTGAGTCTCATTCCGCGGACCATCGCTGGAGGACATCCTCTGGAGACCCCGGCAGCCGCGCGTGAGCATTTCACCAGGCTCATGGGATGAATGGAAAAATTTATCCGGAGCTTCTGTTGCGCACGCTTGGGAGAGGACAGCTGCACCCCAAGCCCACAGGCACCCTGGAGGGCGACCTCAATGCGAAAGCCCTCTGAGCAAAACCCAGGACTCGCAGTTAAGACTGCAAGTGTTTGTGCATGTCTGTGTATTTACATATATATACATTTTACACATGTGTGTAAACATATATGTGCACATACACACTCTTTATATTTTTAAGCTCAAGCCCAAAAGAAGCAGAACCGCCTGTGCTTTTATTTTTCAAGCCTCCAGAGCACACCAAATCTTGGCTCAGCAACTGTAAACAAAATCAAGCCAAAAAAACAGAGGCAAAAACAAACACTGATTCAGTAAAAGAGTCCCCGTGTCAATCTGCACTTCCCGCAGGCAGGATGCCATGGCCCAAGTATGGCATTACTGCCACAGCACACTTCCCTGCGTGGCCTATTGCTGACAGTTTTGTTACAAACTCCCCTTCCCTGTTCCCCTCAAAAAAAAAAAAAAAAAAGATAAAACACCATACAAAAACCCTGAGAGAGTAAATATTGGATCAAAAGAAATGTTAAGGCTAAAAATTGAAAATATCAGAGACAAAAATTTCTCAATGATGCTCAGATACTGCTGGCGCTCACAGTTAAGCCTTCTGAAAGTTCAGATGCCAAATAATTGCCTGGACCTAGTAGCTAGAATATCTATCATGTTGACAGTG